AAATAAAGTAACGCATGTAAGAATATTGTGTAAATACAAGTCACTCTGTAAATATTAAAGTGAAGTTTCCACCAAATACCCATAACTATTAATGACTTTCTTCAAAATATGCCTCTCCCAAAGGGCTTAAAAAGAATTTCCACATTAAATCAAGCTGACCTGCTAAGGGCCGAAAAAAACAACCCTTAAGACTAGCAGCCTCATTTTCACAGATAATTAGCTTTAAGCTTCAAAAAAAAGCAGGCCAAAAAAAAAAAAATTCTTCTATTTGAACAATCATTTACTATATCAAAGATTGTTTACATCTGTGGCTTTGGTTACCTTGATCAAAGTTGTTGATTATTGTTTTTATCCATGGGCCCTTTCCTAGGTGGTTAACTCCTGGTCAGAACAGTGTTGCTGGTAGTAGGTCCTGCTCAGAGCCCAGCAGAGCAGCCTGGCTCAGCCAGACCCAGCCAGATGATGTTTCTGGCTCAGCCAGACCCAGCCAGATGATGTATTCGCCTTTTTGGTAATGGGAGAAAGAAAAATGTATTTCTTGGAAAATGTGTTTTGTATAGTCACTTAAAATTCCACAAGGGAAAAAAAAGGAAATTTCTCTTAAAGATATACAGAAAATACCTAATTAATACTTTCAAGTTAGAATTTTTCCTTAGAAACAGTGATTTCATCCAAAAAAAAAAAAAAGGAAATCTTTAGGATTCAGAGACAAGAAGAGCTCCACAGCCTTAAAAATTAGAAAAATCCTGCCTTAAGGAATTTGGCAGTAGGACAAATACAAAAACCTTGTTATCACTAGCAGCAAAAAGTATTTATTAAAGTAACTACAACACCGTGGTGCGTAGGGGCTGCCACCATGGGAAGCCATGTAAAGTCAAGGAACAGATTCAGTTTCCGTCTCCTGGAAGCTAAAATCAGACACTCAGCTTAGAAACAAGTATGTAAACAGGTTTCAGTTCACCCCACATTTTAAAGGGGCAGTTTTATCATGCTGACTCATAAGGAATGCTTGCAACCACAATGAGTGGGTATGTCATGTGTTAGGCGGAGGCCTGACTTTAGAGTAACTTCATGGGAACCAGTCCCTCCATTCTAGACTGGTACCCAGTTCCGATGGCCATGCCTGCCCTGCCCTGTTATTCTGTACAGTTGGTTGGTGTCTGGTTTCTGAAGGCCTTTACCCTCCCCACTCTGCAAACCCTAATGCAGCCTCCTTCCACCTGCTTCCTTCCCTCTGCATCACTAGCACCTTGCCGCCCCCATGCTTCACTTTCCCTCCCTGCTTCTTTTGTATTTCTGGATGCCCAGGCTCAGTGAGAGTTGGCAGCATTAAAAGTGCCACCTGTTTAGTTCAGTAAAGGGAGCCCTTCCTGCCAGATGAAGGAGAGACATATGAACACTTCCTGCGCTGTGAGCAGCCCGGTTTGCCTACACTGCCGTCAGCTGGTTTGCCCCCAAACACTAGTCCTCAACCACATATCCTGTGCGCCACCTTGCATTTCTCTGAGCAGAGGGAGATGTACTGCCAGGCCTACAAGATTGTGTTCTATTTTTTTGTAGTGTTGGAACCTACCCCCATCACATGTAGAAACAGGCATTCTGCATCCTGTCCTGCTGAAAGCTAAGCCACAGATACTTGGCAAGGCCTTAAAACTAGCACAGACACACCTCAGCCCCATGGGTTCTGCGAGCTGGAGCGCAGACACAAATGCACACTGAGGAGATGACTGCGGTGGAGGCTCCCGTGGTGCCTCCCTCAGAATGCTGTCTACCCTTCTGCACACACACACACAAACACACAAACATTACTCACATGCACATGCACACATGCTCAGACAGGCACATGCCCTCTAGTTCTTCATCACGTTCTTCTCCCAGCCTCTCACGCTATCCGGGAAGACGTTTTACTGGCACTCGAACAGGCTGGGAAACTGGTTCCGTGTTGAACATGCTTGTCCCAGGGTGCAGGGGCCAAATCTGTTCCCTGCCATGCTTGGTGACACTTGACACAGTGGCCTTTCTTACCACTGAAGGGGGATTATCTGACACTGTTACTGAATGTATATTTTTGTATCTAAAAACTCTCCTACCTGGTCTCTGGAAAGTAACTCCTCTAGCTGAGAGCAGCAGAGGAAGAAGAGAGGTAGGGAGAGCACCTAAAAAGGAACAGGGCAAAGCTGGAGGCATTCCTCGGATGAAGAGAGAAACAAGCAATGCAGAATGTGACACAGGAAGGAGGCAGCTGTTTAACTAGCAATGGACAGGAGTTCCAATGTACTTAGTGGTTAAGACACAGGCGCTGGAGTCAGAAGGATGTAGGTTAGAATCCTAGCCTTACATTTGGTGATTTATATAACTTCTCTGATCATTCAGTTTCCTTATCTATAAAATGAGGGGAGAGGTCTGTGGAGAGAATAATTCTAATCACTTTACAGCATTGTTGTAAGGATTATGATAACGCATGAATAGCATTTTCGCAGTTTTGTCACACATAGTAAGTGGTCAATACACACTAAGGATGAGGATGAGGATGGTGATGATAATGAAGATGATTGAGTCAAAAGTCCATGAGACCACCTTCAGATTTAATGATTTGCTAGACGGACTCACAGAACTCAGAAAAGCTGGTGTACTCACGGTTATGGTTTATTACAGTGAAAAGATACAGGTTAACATCAGCAAAGGAAAAAGGAACATAGGGCAGGGTCCAGGACAGACCAGGCACCAGCTTCCAGTTGTCCTCTCCCAGTGGAGTCACATAGACAACACCTAATTCTCCCAGCAATGGTGTATGAGAAGATATACAAGGTATTGCCAACCAGAGAAGCTTACCTGAGCCTTGGTATCCAGAGTTTTTATTAGAGATCAGTCAAGTAGGCATAAGTTGCCTGCATCTGACCTTAGTTACTGAGTGTCCAGAACTTCCAGAGGTTAAATGATACCACATGGCTCAAGGCCCCAGGTAAACAAAGACATCTTATCAGGTGGGATTTCAAGGGCTTTGGTGTTACCTCTCAGGAGCTGGTCTGGGGCTAAAACTTTTTTTGGAATGTGCAGAGTTTGGACAACCCAGGCCTGCTGACTTACTCCTTTACTGCACAGTGATGATGATAAAGATGGAAACTACCCATTGTCACTAGACCTTGAGACCAATGAGATTGGGCCAGATATATCTCAGAAGCTGTTAATTGGGCCAGATATATCTCAGAAGCTGAGAGTTAATGAAAAGCAGAATTGGTCTGGACAGTCATAGTGAATATTGCCTTACTTGTTGAGAACCAACAGGGAGAAATAGAATGGAGAAGGAAGGGGATGATGCCACCAAGCAAAGAAGATAAAGGGAAGATTACCCAAAGCCAATGAAGAGCAGCTTAAGTCCCAGAGGTGGGGGCCTTTGAGACCAAAAAACAAAACAAAACAAAACAAGTGTTAGGTCCTCACTCCAAGAGCTAAGGAGTTGGTGAGACTCAAGAAGGCCAGGAATGACTATTGACCTGTGTTCCAAAGCAGAGGGGCACCTGGGGGCCTAGGTCTGGTGAAAAGAATTAGAAGCAGGTTTTGGAAAAGACTAAAAATTCCATTCCGTTTAGCAGAGGAGCTGACCTAAAACCACCTTAGACTAGACTAAGGCGCTTTGTCTGAGTCTAGCCCAGCCCAGGTGCAACAGGATGATTCTAAATGAGATAGCCAGGCAACTCCCCAAGCCCCAGTTAAGTAGAGAATACGGAAAGGCCCTTTGAGAAGGGCAAACCTAGCCCCCATTTACATTTCAATACAGACTAAGAGCAAACAGAACAGAATTTGTAAAGATAACAGGTTAGAATCTGAGGGGTTTTTGTTTGTTTTTGTTGTCTTCTTTTTGTATTTCTATGAAAGAAATATTAGGAGAAATGCTTTTTGGAATCTTCATAACTTTCCATTACTTATGGGAAGTTTGTTTTTGTTTTTAACAGTTTTGTAACTAAAAGTCAACTCTCCAAACAAAAACAGGACAACAGCAGAGGGGAGGAATACCTGCTTTCTGCCAGACCTAAGGGGCAGGGGTGGGGGGGAGTTCCCAACAGAGGACTCAGGAATTGAAGAGCACAAGGAAGAAGAATAAACAAGTCAAATTCTTGGGGCTTGTAGCCTAGGATAGTAGAATGAGCCTGGGGGTTAATTAGCAAGGGCACTATTCCACACAAATCATTTGGCTAAAGGTGTAGATGGGGCTGTTCTCAGATCACTGCAGAGGAGACCAAGTCTGTAGGCTCCAATGCAAACAACTCTCAGCCTAACCACTCTCCCCTTCCCACTATCCTCCCCCAAACATCTTTCTAAAATATATCATTCTCAGGGGCGCCTGGGTGGCTCCGTCGTTAAGCATCTGCCTTTGGCTCAGATCATGATCCCAGGGTTCTGGGATCGAGCCCCACTTCGGGCTCCCTGCTAGGCGGGGAACCTGCTTCTCCCTCTGCCTGCTGCCCCTCCCCCCACCTACCCCCACTTGTGTGCAATCTCTCTCCCAAATAATATGTATCATTCTCTTTGGAATTCACATCTGGGAAGCAAAGAAGATAGGTAAGTAATCAAAGTGCCCTCTTAAGCAACATTTAAGTATAGCAGAGATCACAACACGGAATCACTGTCACTTCAGAGTTGTCATGAGAGGAATGGAACCATCCCATTCCTCAGGAAAATCCTGACTCCTCTCAGAAAATTTTTCAAGGGTTGCCTGGATGGCTCAGTAGTTAAGCGTCTGCCTTCAGCTCAGGTTATGATCCCAGGGTCCTGGAATCGAGCCCCACATCGGGCTCCTTGCTCCGTGGGAAGCCTGCTTCTCCCTCTCTCACTCCCCCTGCTTGTGTTCCCTCGCTCGCTGTGTCTCTTTCTGTCAAATAAATAAATAAAATCTTAAAAAAAAAAAAGTTTTTCAAAACCTACAGATTCGAGATAGTTTTTCTGATGAGATATTGCAATGGCATCATGACATTAAGTATTTTATTTGCTTTCTTTCTTAGATCCCAAGAGATGACCCAAAGACATTTAAACCTTGGTCTATCCCTATAGCGTAACGTTGCTGTCATTTCCTAAAAGGTAAGATTATTAAGCTGAAAGAAAATTACTCAGAAAGAAAAAACATCAGCCAGGCCAGTAGCTTTCAAACTGTTCTAAGGAAGTTTAGGATTGCACAAATGTATAAATCTAGTTTCTTTTTTTAAAAGAGTCTTTATTCATTTGAGACAGAGAGAGAGAGAAGGAGAGAAGGAGCAAGGGGAGGGGCAGAGGGAGAGGGAGAAGCAGGCTCCCCAGTGAGCAGGGCATCCTGCCGCTCAGAACCCTGGGATCATGACCTGAGCCAAAGGCAGACCTTTAACTGACTGAGCCACCCAGGAGCCCCTCTAGTTTCATTTTTAAATCTTATCCAACATTTAATTTTTTAACACTAAACATGCATGGCTTTGGATGCTGACAAGGAAAGTCAAGGTATTTTATACAAGAAAAACATAGCAGTTTTTCTTTTCATTTTCTTCTCTTTTCTTTTTTAAAGATTTTATTTTTAGGTAATCTCTATACCCACCATGGGGCTCGAACTCATAACTCTGAGATCAAGAGTCACATGCTCCATCAACTAAGCCAACCAGGTGTCCCGTTTTTCTTTTCATCTTAAAATAAAATTTTAAATGAGAAAGCTGGGATGCCTGGGTGGCTCAGTCGGTTAAGCGGCTGCCTTCAGCTCAGGTCATGATCCTAGGGTCCTGCTCAGAGGGGAGCCTGCTTCTCCCCTGCCTGCCGCTCCCCCTGCTTGTGCTCTCTTTCTCTCTGACAAATAAATAAGTAAAATCTTTAAAATAAATAAATTAATTAAATTAAATTAAATGAGAAAGCTCTGGATTAAGATATTTTAAAGATCCGATTCCCTGATTCTTTTGAGAATCATTTATATCTTGAGTGCAAAACACCAAACTAAAATCTATTGCTTCCCACATTTATAATTAATTAGTGCTATTTAAAAGAGGTATCTAGTTGTATTTGTTGAGTTCAACGGCTACAATTTTATAGTGCAGCTTAACACAAAACACAGAACACTGAAGGCTTTGGAGCATGACCACCAAAACTGCCTGGGAAATTTATGCTGACAAAAAGAAACATACTTTCCTTGTTGGAAAATTAAACTGTTTTTCTGCACACTTACTGGGCAACAATTTTTAGTGCTGAAAATGAAAGCAGAGTCAAGAACTACATCGTAGATTCAGAGAAAAAAATTTTTTTTCTTCAAACTCTAATTTTCCAATTAAATGTCTAAAACAACCTGTGTATTAACAGATATGTTTAATTCCATTGTGGTTTGTCACATAAGAACTTGCATTGATAGTTCTGCTATATCAGACTAAATAATTGATGAGATTTTTGTTTCTCCTTTCACAGTAACAACACAAATCAAAATAGTCAACATTTAAAATTATATTTTAAATTATTATAAAATAGTAATTAAAAAACATACGCCCACGTATAGAGGGCAGAATAGTTAGCTCTTTAACTATTCTCTCTCTCCCTACCTCTCTCTTTCCGTATCAGAATTAAATGTGGATATGCTGGCAAATTGCCTCTAATCCCTGTATAAAACAAGGCTTGTAAAGTGCACAGAATTGTGCCTGACACTAGTACTCAAGGAAAGCCACACATATACACTCAGGTACGCTAAGCGCCAAACTTTAACAAATGGGAGACAATCAGTGAATGAACTGGGCTGTCAAGTTTTTGTACAAACTTCAAAATAAAGAACATCCTCAGAGTGCAAGAGAAATTTAAAAACCAAAAATCAAAGCGAAACCAAAAAAATCTCTTTTGCTACTTTACCACTTACAGCTATTTATGTGTCAGAATTATCTCCATGCTGTGCAGTTAAAAAAAAAAAAAGGCAGATATAAGTTACATTCTGAGTCTTTAACTGTCATCCTTTACCCACAATTTCAGATTTTTGCTTTCTTCAAAGTAGCATAATTGTTCTCACATATTTGCTTTATAAGCAAGTGTTAAACATTGACCTTATTAAATCTGTACCGCACTAAAATCATGTGTGTGTGTGTTCCATAACATTTTAAACCTCTGCTAAAAATGTGTGAAAATCTCTGAGCTCATCCAGCTTCTCATTTATTTTATAAATGAAGACATGGAGGCCAAGGAAGAATAAGAACTACCTAAATGTGCTTATTCAGATCCATAAAGCTTTACCAATCCAATTTTTCAACTATTTATTGTTTTCCTTATAAGCAAAAGTTGGGGGATTTGCACACTTTTATAATTAGTCTCTTTTCTTTTTTTTCCAGGTGTTTCAGTTTTTCACAAGTAAAAAGGTGGTTTGTTAATCCAAACTGATATTCTTATACTGTTATGGAAAAAAGACACAAATTTTAGAAACATTATTCAAGTCTGATTAGGTTAAAGATTAATCACTATTTATAAATTATTTACTTAGACTTTCTAGGCTAGAGGCCACCAGACAAATTTTGCAATATACACAATAGCCAAGTTTAAGTTTGATTTGTTTCTGAAGATATCATGTAACTATTGCTCTAAAAGCAAATTGTGTCTTTCTGTGTCCATCCAATCTAACTGGACTAGTAATGCAAGTTACAAACCTATAATGAAAGACACTTCTCAGCAAATAAATATGTGATTACTCTTCCCAAGGATACGTTTGATTTAGTGGTGACAGGTAGGAACACTACAAGAGTTCTGCAAGGTTTTGTTTTGTTCCTACTGTGAATTAGCTGTGAGTCTGTGCAGGAGCATCTGACAGCAAAGGAGTGGTATTTTACTCATGTAAGTCAGCTATTCAACTGGTTAACATTCTTTTGGAATTTGGAGATAAAAAGGCAATGTAAAAACTATTCAATGTATTATCATAAAACCCTTTAATTGTTTGTCCTAGAAAACATCTGATCTAGTAGCAGTTTCAGAAATACTTCCCTGCTCAGTTTCCCATATATTGAAGGGAGTAACACAGAGCAAAAGAGTTCTAAATTGTAATCATCCCAACGTTGTAGTTTAAAACATGTGGGATCCACCAAATTCCATTGATCTGAGTTTTTGAGGCCATCAGAGGAGGAGAATATGAATTAGGCCTTATTTGACCAGAAAGTCAGGAGGTAAACTGACACTCTGTCAGCCAGAGTTTGCATGATGAAGTCACCAAGCCACCGTCTGCAAGGACTCCAGAAGTGAATGAGGGAGGAGGGGCTGATCTGAGAGCACTGGGTGACGGGTGAGAGGAGGCAGAGATCAGGCTTGCCCTATGGGAGGCTGTAGGTCGCTGGAGGCAGTGAGCACATCTGGGATACGGCTGTGCACAGGCCTGTCCACTGACTTTGGAGGCTTCACTAGGGCCACAGGAGTCTAAGGGAAGAAGTGGGACTGGAGCACAAAGAGAAAGGAGACTAGAACAGAGAAGTCATAGGCGAGACAAAAAGTCATGCAAGATTTTTGCACACATAAGCAGAAGAGCTTGGGAATTTAGTGGGAATAGCCAGGGCAAAATAAACTGAAAGTAAAAAAAAAAAAAAAAAAGTTTTGGCTCTCAAAAATAAAATCCTTAACTGTGTAATCTAATGTGAATATAAGAAATTTGTTTTGGGGTGCCTGGGTGGCTCAGTCAGTTAAGTCATGATGCGGGGGGTCCTGGGATTGAGCCCCACACTGGGCTCCCTGCTCAGAGGGGAGTCTGCTCCTCCCTCTCCCTCCGTCCCTCTCCCGCTGCTTGTGCTCTCTCTTTTTCTCTCTCTCTGTTAAATAAATAAATAAAATATTTAAATTTTTTTTGTTTTATCATCTGTATCATTTTATTTATTTATTTATTTTTATTTATTTATTTATTTATTCATGAGAGTCAGAGAGAGAGAGAGAGAGGCAGAGGCAGAGAGAGAAGCAGGCTCCCCGCCTAGCAGGGAGCCCGATGCGGGACTCGATCCCAGGACCCTGAGATCATGACCTGAGCTGGAGGCAGATGCCCAACCATCTGAGCCACCCAGGCGCCCTCATCTGTATCATTTTAAACAGTGGTAAATATAATTCATATTTTGTAAAAATTTGGTCTTGTTGGGGCTAAGGATGGTTACTAGGCATTTATTTTCTATTTGTCACAGTTGAGAACTATAGAGCAGCAAAAATAGAGGGGTCTATATAAAAACTACATGTGTGAGTTGATACACTAAAATCTGGACGGCACGGATATCAAGCAAATACTTTTTCAAAAAGGCACAGCTGAAACCACATACTTGAAACCAGTTCTTTGGGCTCTAAGCATCGTTAAAGGATAGTTACTAAATTTTTTAAATTAGTAATACATTCACACAGTTCAAAAATATAAAAAGGTCTATAGTGCAAGGACTTACTCACACAAGCACAAAATGTAACCACTTTTTAAAAAAAGATTTATTTATTTGAGAGAGAATCCCAAGCAGACTCCACTCTGAGTGCAGAGCCCTGCTGGTGTGGGGCTCCATCCCACAACCCTGAGATCATGACCTGAGCCGAAATCAAGAGTCAGACACTCAACCAACTGAGCCACCCAGGCGCCCCAACCATTTTTGTTAGCTACTTTTTTTTCCCCCCTTCAGGAATAGCTGGTCCCAGAAGGCCCAGCCACTCTTGTCAAGATTAAAATTACTCTTAGTTGGTCCCATACATGGATGGGACATAGTGACCAAATGTCGGGATGGTAGGGGAAGTCTAAGGTGACAGGACAAGCAGCTGGCTCCTGCCCATGTTACATCTTCTGGACCCACTGAATGAGGTGCTGATCCCCCCTCCCCGTCTAGACAATTCTATCCCTTTCCCCATGTCAGCAGCGCCCTGGTGCCTGTAACAGTGAGGAATATAACCCTTAACGCTCATCATGGCTCTGTGGATCCTCCCGTTTTCCCCATGGGTCTTGGGCACACAGAAGGCATTTATACTCTTGCCTTCTGAACCTGGGCTCTCTGAGTGGGTTTTCTCTCCTGAAAGGAAAAGCAGCCTGCTCCCAGCTCCACCCCCAGAATAGTGAAAATTAACATTTGATCGGTCTCATATAACTGTGTAGACAAATAGCAAAAAGATATCACTCCTGATTCATAAGACGCTGAAAACAAGTTTAAAAATTAGGCAGAAATAGTTGGAGACAGAAAATAAAGGCATTTTCTCAGTCTCCTTACGCAACCTTGAATGAGTTGATACTAAGATATCACTGAGTACAAAACAAGAATGTTCTTTCCTTGGCATAGCCCCCATAGCAGGACAGACCTTCCCACACTCCCTTTACTTCATATTTAGATGATGTCACCAGCTGTCTAACTGGTCTTGTTCCAAACCATTCTGCACATAGCTGCCCGGATAATCTTTCTCAACATCTATAACCACCTATCCTCACTGGGTAAAAGAGAAGCATTCAACAGGACAGTTTCTTCTTCCAAAAAGGACTGTACTGTAATTTGTGTGGTAGTCACCAGTTGCTTCCATCTGCTTGGGGGTCTTTTCCTTTGGGAAGTTTCCCGTCCTCCAGTCCATGTGTTCCAGGAGGGCTGCTGGGCAAGGCACAGGATAAGCTGGGTCCAAGTCTCTCCCGACAGTGAGACTCTTGAGTAAGGTCCATGAGGTTAAAAGGCCACTGGTACAGATTGCCTGGATGGCCCAGCTGTGGAGAGCAGGTCCGCAAGCTCTGCTGCTAGACCCTCAGTGGTACCCCGTCCCTGTGCATCTCAAGGCCTGCTTCTCCAGTTCTGCCTTCAATTCTGTCCGCTAGCCAATATCTTTCCCGTTTTATTAGTTTCCTAGAGCTGCCATCACAAATTCCCACAAACTGGATAGCTTAAATATTTATTCTTTCACAGTTCTGGAGGCTAGAAGTTCAAAATCAAGGTGTTAGCTGGGCCATGGATTCTAGGGAAGAACCCTTCCTTGCCTCGTCTGGTGGCTTAAATATATCATATCGTTTATACTAAATTTCTAAAGTATTTTAAAGTAAATTACTACCCAGAAAACAACACCGATTAAGACCAGACTCCTTAATATATCCGCCTAGGTTCTTCTCAGAGTAACCCTCGCTTCATCTCTGCTGTTCCTCCCCCAACACACACAGACATATGTACGAACTATACTCCACACCAGACACACCAAGCTGCTCCCTGCTCCTAGAAGTTGGCAGCCATCGCCACTTCTCAGGCCTTTCCACGTGCTGCTTCTTGCCCCTACTTCTCCATCTGACTAACCTCTTCTCTTCCTTCAAGTCCCACTTGAGCTATCTCCTCTTCATACTCCTCTGGGAGCCCCTTCCTTCCCAGCCCTGCGGATCTGGCCACTCCCTCATCCACATTCTAGTGGCATCTAGTGCAGATCTCTCCATCTGTACGTTCACAGTGATACTGGGCTCGCAACTATCATCTGTGTCCCTCGCTGGACAGCGCACGTCATAAGAACCACAATTCATTGTTTTCCGACCTCTATTATAGCACACCAGGCACATAGTAGGTACTTAGCAGATAGGTGTTGAATAAAACAAAAGTGAAGGTCCTAGAACATTTCATTTCTCACCTCTTCTGCCAAGGAAAAGCAGAGACCTTCCTCACTGTTCTTAGCAAATGCTTTGCTCAAAGACAAATCTGTTGCTTACATATTGTTCTTTCTAGACAAGTGATTCTCAAAATGTCATAAGACACCAAAGTTCTTCATGTTGTTTCATAACACTTTTTTTTTAAAGATTTTATTTATTTATTTGAGAGAGAGAGAATGAGAGAGAGCACATGAGAATGGGGAGGGTCAGAGGGAGAAGCAGACTCCCCGCCGAGCAGGGAGCCCGATGCGGGACTCGATCCCGGGACTCCAGGATCATGACCTGAGCCGAAGGCAGTCGCCTAACCAACTGAGCCACCCAGGTGCCCTGTTTCATAACACTTTTTACCTGGGTTCTAAAAGTTCATGGAATTTGGGCATTTTAAAACTCGACTCATATTCAAAGTAATGGGTATAGAGAATTGTTGCAGATTTTCACATTAGCACTTCCTATGACAATTTGCCTAATGCTAAGAACCTCTGTTGTGGACAAGCCTTATTGTATAAAGCCCTCTGAGGCCACAACCACCTGCACTAACTAGGTTCTGAAAAATGAAGCTATGTTTTAAAAGAAAACGACTTTTGGTCTTTCTGGAACCAGAAAAGGAAATCCTCCAAGACAGTTTTAATACTGCGTTTTAAGAGTAGAATCAGAAATGCACGATGAGTAAAAGGCTACTTTTCTCATCAGATAAATTGGCATTAGATTTCCATTATAGACCATCCATGACCTTCTTCCGGAAGAATAATCATCATCAATGATATTATATTTAGCTTCCCTTGAAAGTAAAACAGCCCTGCTCCCTTACCGAGTTTCTGTGAAGAACTTTAAAATGCATGCGAAAATATTTTGTAAACGATAACATCCTGTCTGTATGTAAGGTCTACAACGACCACTCTATGACTACTAATATCAGGAGCAGTAGTAGTACTTACTACCAGTACTGTGGTTCCTGCTGCCGTTTCTACTACCACTAACAACAACAATAAAGCACCAACTAATTTCTATTCAGTTTAGTTGCTTTCTCATTTTAGGCTAATAACTTGATATCACACATAGGCCCCTAAAAAGTGAAATTTGGGCTTATAAAAAGAGAGCAAAGAAAGATGGCCATCTAAATATGCCAGGCAACAGTTCAACATACATTCGAGATCATTTTCTAACACAGAGACCTTTAGATCTAGATTATCAAGATTTCTTGTTCTTTAAATGAATCTTAATATATTAAGAAATAAGAATTAATAAGCAATAAACAGTCCTTCCTAAATAATCCTATAACTAACAGTTATACCATATGCCATCACAGTTAACTTTGTTGTTTGTTTTCCTTTAAATAAATGCCTTGAATGTTAAATAGCTTAGAATGTAGCTATTATGGTCGTCCAAAATATTACTTACTTGGCAAATTACCTCAAACTATTTTCTGAATAAACACTTTACAGGAGCAAAGAGTTTTCACCTTAACCTACCATCATTCCTATGTGGAGAGAGAGATTGAATGCCAGGTTTCTTGAATCCCTAAGCCTCAAAAATCTAAATAATAGAATCTGTTTCAAGAGGAGAAATCAGTGTCTTAAAAGAATAACTTATTTACCAAATTTTATTAAAATGTTCAGGTAATTAGCAATGCCTATTTTTGATTTTTCACAATCTTGATTTTAACAAATATTACTAATAGTAAATATTATTAATAGTCAAATAACTACTAAAACTCTTCTATACAGCAAGTGAAAGTGATGGGATATATGAGGGGTGCGTGGTTAGCTCAGTCAGTAGAACAAGCAACTTGATCTCGGGGTCATGAGTTCAAGTTCCACCTTGGGTTTGGAGATTAAATTTAAAAAAAAATTTTTTAATGGTATATATGAGGGACACCTGTGTGGCTCAGTCGGTTAAGTGTCTGCCTTCAGCTCAGGTCATGATCCCAGAGTCCTGGGATCGAGTCCCTCTTGGGCTCCCTGCTCAGCGGGGAGCCTGTTTCTCCCTCTGCCTGCCACTCCCCCTGCTTGTGCTGTTTCTTTCTCTCTCTCTCTCTCTCTGACAAATAAATAAAAATCTTTTAAAAAATGATAAATGATATATATGAGATATGTAGCAACTATTTAACACATTTTCATCTAAAATGTAATTATTTGAAAGCTCACTGCACCTCAACACTTTTTCATTGTAAAAATCTTGTGGAGCCTATGAAAATACTTCTAGCCACACACACATACATACATTCATATATATGTAGGAGTACACATGCATTCATATGTACATATGTGTTAACATACATATATGATGCAGTATTTAGGCCAGATTCATAAGGTGTTCTACAATCTTCTATCCAAAGTAAAGGAGTATAAATACTTTTCCCAGATCATTTTTAAGGGAAGCAATGTGCTTTTTGAAACAGGGCCTTGCCATCTTCCTGGGTTTTGGAAGAAAAACCTATTGTCACTTGCCCTTGAAAAAGAAACACGTATCTATTTCCACCACCAATGTTAAAACTGATATCAAGTTCACATGTTGCATCTAGCATCTTTCATCTAAGTAGGTCAAAAATTTTGAATCCAAGAAGACAATGGGGAACTTGCAGCAATGGCAAAATGAAGATGTCAGCAAATCCTCTCTGCAAAACTAATGATAAAACTGGGCAAGATTGTCCCAAACTACCATTTCAAGACTGTAGAATAAGTAAACAAAGGCCAACAACAAATTGACACGTGTCTATTCGTGAAAAACCGTTAAACTTCAAATAAGAGCAGGAGGTGGGTGGTATTCTGTGGAAATCAATGAAATAAAAAACAAAACCAAAAGATAGAGAAAAATCAATAAAACCAAGAGATTTTTTGCTTTGAAAACGTCAACCAAACCGATAAACCATTAGCTATACTGACTCAGAAAAGACACAATTATCAAATGAGGAATGAAACAAAAGACATCACAACTAACTTTACAGATGTTAAGAGGATTATTAGAGAATTTTATGAACAACTGCATGCCAACAAATTAGACAACTTAGACAAAATAACAAATTCCTAGAGACACACATATTACCAAAGCAGACTCATGAAGAAACAGGAAATCTGAACAGATCTCTAACAAGTAAAGGAACTAAATTATTAATTAAAAATCTTCCCACAAAGGAAAACCCAAGCCCATATGGCTTCACTGATAAAGTCTATCAAATACTTGAAAAAGAAATAATCCCAATCTGGGGCGCCTGGGTGGCTCAGTCGTTGAGCGTCTGCCTTCGGCTCAGGTCATTGATCCCAGGGTCCTGGGACAGAGCCGGGCTCCCTACTCTGCAGGAAGTCTGCTTCTCCCTCTCCCACTCCCCCTGCTTGTGTTCTCTCTCTCTCTGTCTCTCTCTGCCAAATAGATAAATAAAATCTTTAAAAAAAAAAAAAAAAGAAAGAATCCCAATCCTACACAAATGTTATGACGACTACTGGGAGTGATTACTGAAAATACCTTCATTCATGAAATAAATCTTCATTTAAAATAGGGAACCTAGAGACCCTTGGTTGGCTCAGTCAGTAGAGCATGTGACCTGATCTCAGGGTCGTGAGTTCGAGCCTCATGTTGGGTGTGGAGCCTTCTTATAAGTAGATGGATGGATGGATGGATGGATGGATGGATGGATGGATGGATGGATAGGTAGGTAGATAGATAGATAGATAGATAGATAGATAGATAGATAGATAGATAGACAGATAGATAGATAAAAAACAGGGAACGCAACCTGGCCTAGCAATGATGAAAAAAAGTTCCAAAATACTTTTATCATAAGACATTGTCTTGAATGTTGCTAATATTTCACCAAAAACTTTATTATTTATATGCTGGAGTTTGCAAGGTTAGCCATTACAGAATTCTTAACTCAGCACTAACAAAAACAAAAGACAATTTAAAGCAGGCCCTGACCTTGTCTTATGAGGCATTTCCTCAAAGATCTGATTTATCCCTCTTCTCAAGCTCATTAACTTTAAGCTCCTTAAACTTAAAATTATCACTTTAAGCTCCTTAAACTGTTATGCTAGTACAGCATTTATCAGGTAGGCATGCAGTATATTGTTGGGAACTCGAGTCAGTTTAAGGATACCAATAACGAATCTACAAAAAGATATGGAACCCCATTTATGAGAGTTAGAAGGGTCTTAGCTGTCACGTAAAGCATCCATACTCATATTTTACAGAGAGATTAAGTGACTCATGTAAAATCTCAAAAACAGCCAGGGACGAGATTCTCCTTTAAACGTCTATCTTCCAGCATTGCTATAAGAAACCAGGTTGACCTTCTTTGTCATCCTTCTTTCTCCTCCACGGTCAAGTCTCCACCACGGAAAGTACTAGCTTTATCAAACTCATCCCATACTCACTAAAGCATGTTCCTTGCCATACACTGAAGCACAACTAAAATGAGTAAGAAATTGCCATCGCCATCAAGAATTTCAGTATAGGATAAAAGATAGGACAGTTGCAAATTCAAAGTAGGTCAAATATCAGAAAAGTACGAAGAAGTTCAGAAAAGGAATGTGTTCACATCGGCTGCAGTGACTAAGAACGGCTTAAGGGAAGGATAGTATTTGAAATAAGGCTTGAAACGATAAATAGCATTTTGACAGTAAAAAATGAGGGAAGGACATCTCAAGAAGAGGGACATCTCAGTCTGACTAAAGCATAGAGTTCAGGTGTTTGGAACCTTTTCAGCCGTGATACAGTTTATAAACATTTCCCTTGCGAGCCCATGGCACCTATTCCCGTGGGCACACCTGAAAGCATAGGTAATATAGGCTGCCTGCCATGTACAATGCCCAGGGACGTCCTCCCTCTCTGACTTTCAGGTACGTATATCAGAATGGAAATAAGTGAGAATGATCTTGTAATAGATAATCTTCAATCCGCTTTAATTTTTAAGGAAAATCACTTGCTGGGGCACCTGGGCCACTCAGTAGGTTGAACATTGACTCTTGATTTCTACTCAGGTCATGATCTCAGGGTCCTGGGATCAAGCCCCACATCAGGCTCCGCGCTCAGCAGGGAGTCTGCTTGAGGATTTTTCTCTCTCCCTCTTCCCCTGCCCCTCCCCACTCTCTCTCTAAAAATAAATAAATAAATCATTTTAAAAAAAAATCACTTGCTAAATTTAATATAGCTTTTAGTCAAAAATTGCTTGCTATACGCCCCACAATGGAGAGCAATAACAGATTAAGAACCACCAATATGATGGGAAGTAAAGGTGAGAAACATTGGTCAGAACGATCCCTGGGTGATCTGGAGTACAAACCAAGGCATTTAAACAGTGAAATGCTTCAGGCTGCATTTGGGAAGATTACTCTGGAAGTGCGGAGAAAGGGATAGCAGTTGGGAAGTTATTGCGAAAGTCCCAGTTAGGGGAAATAGAGGCCTAAATGAAGATGATACTGGAAAAAGATGATGGAATTGAGAAATGTGACAAATATAGAAGATAAGCTTGGTGAGGTCAGAGGTCTAACTTGTCACCTCTATATCTCTAGTGGTCTTTAGCTCCGTTAACTATTTGTTGAATGGATAAATTAGATCTTGGTGGCAAGGCAATAATGCTATAGTGCTGCAGCCAGACTGCCCGGGTTCAAATCAAGCTCTTCCATTTACTAGTTCTATGGCCTTGAGTAAGTTTCTTGACCTCTCCATGCCTTGGTCTTCCAGTCTATTAAATGGGGCTAATAATAGTTTCTAGATCATAAGGTAGTTTTGAAGATTAAATAAGGTGAAGTGTTAGAATACATGTATCTTTAAGAGAACTTCAGAAGTGAGAAACACAACTTTGGGGTGGGGGGAAAAATAATCAATAGCGCTGAGTGTTTAGTTTGGCATTTAGTGGAGATACCAGATAGTGGGGCTTTGCAGCTTGGGGGAAAGGGTTAGACTTAGAAATCTGGCTGTTAACCACTCAACTGTGCTCCCCACAGACCTCCCATCTCCCACCAAGATCCAGTCACACTAGCCCCTTTCAGTTCCTCCAACAGGCCAGGTTTTTCCTACCTCAGGACTTGCCCACTGCTATTCCCTCACCCTGAAAGGGCACAGAGCCTAAACTCAACAAATATTTAATGATTCAATAGAAGAGTGTGGCATTCTTTGAAAAGTTAAATCCCTAGGAATGTATGGAGAGTGTCATGTAAGAAAGCATGATGGAAGATAAAAGGTATGAGCACAAAAAGGAGCATCTGGGAGGTAACCAGGACAACTGCAACAAAGTTTTGAGGAGATGCGTAATGGCCTAAATGCTCAGAGGAGGAAAGGAGGGTGAGGACTGAAAGATCCCTGGAGTGGCAATAATTTCAGGAAAGAACTCTGAGAAGTAATTCTCCAAAAAGTTGCGAGGGAAAAGGGGCAGAGGTCAGATAAAGAAAATAAATCAACTAATACAAACTAATTTATCCAAAATGTTTGATAAGGAAGAGAAGCAGAGTCCAGGAAAGGTGAATGTAGGAACAAACCCTGATTTTACAGGGTTTTGGTGTTGGGTTTTTGTTTTTTTGGTAGGAGGGTAAGTAACAATGCAGAGGCAAACTACTAATACAAACGGAATAAAAACGCGAGACAAACAGCATCGCTATTTGTTCAGTTTTATAATGTCCACAGTGCTTTTCACACACATTACCCTGTCCCCCAGCCCTCTAAGTCAGTGGTTCTCAAAGTGTAGTTCCTAGACCAGGGTCATCAGCATCACATGGAACTGGTCAGAAATGCGCATTTTTGAGTCCCACAACAGATCTACATAATCTGTGCTTGTGGGACCGAGTAATCTGTGTTTTAAAAAGTCTTTCAGGGGATTCTGATGCTCTCCAGGTCCCCGCAAGCACCACACTCAGAGAAGAAAACGGCAAAGACCACTCACTGCAAGGAGTAGCGGCCACAGTCGGAGGGCAGACTTTTCTTCTGAACCCCTCCATCCGGATCCCCCTCCCTCCTGAGAGGCAGTGCACAACCCACCCCGCCAGCACCGCAAAGCAAAGTCACCCCGCTTCGGACTTAACCTGAGCGAGTTCTACCAACCCCGGCGGGAGCAGAGGTCGGCAGACGGCCCCTAGGCCAAACTCAGTCGCCGCCCCAAAAGGGCCCAAGCGCACCCGGCCCTCGGACGTCGACTTCCTGCACTGGCGGGGGGACGTCTACGGGAAGGGACTCCGGACGGACGTGTCCAACTTCTCCAGGACTGGAGGGGGTGGGGGCGGGGTATTTGCTTTTCTAAGCCCTCCCTGTGCCCAGAGGCCGGATGAAGCGGAGGAGGAAAAAAGAGAGGCTAGTCTAGGATAAGTTTCCGGAAAACCTGGAACCCAATAAAGAAACAAAGAAGCCTTGAAAACTCTCCTCCCTCTCCTTTCCTACTGCCCCACCCCGAACCCCACGGAATGGAAAAGGCGGAGGCTCAAGGCCGCGACAGGGAGGGTCGCGGGGGAGGACGCTAGGGGAAGAAATCTCGCGATAGGAGGCCGGCCGGGGCGGGGGTGACACCTCTTCCCTCCTCCTCGCGTTAGTTCCGGTCGCAGGGGAGACACCGCCGCAGTTGCCGCCACATCGGGGATTTCTGGCTCTTTTCTCT